GCCACCTTTTTTATTCTGATGCGTTAAGCGACATATTCAAATAAATTGTCTACTGAATCGAACGCACATTACCGTACAGCACTCACTAACACACCACTATAGTGTGAATGGGCCCTTAAGCACATCCCACCTTCATTCCGCCTTCACCATTGGCTACAACTCATTTTTCCAAATTGGGAACATTTTTAATTTTTCTCATCCTTTGTGGTGAGCCGTGAAAAAAAAAATCCTTAAGGCGGCTTTCACGCTTCTTCAGTTTAAAAAGCGGAAGAAAACTGCATTCCCTTTAAATCCTATCAAACTCTTCACTCTGGTCCGCTTCGTGGGCCCCTGTTTACAGGATCGCATGACAAGGGAAATCACATTATATTCAATGGTCCCCTTCTAATCAACTCAGCACCGTGAGATTTCGGAAAAGGTTCCTGGTGGTCTTGAGTGCGATTTGAGCCCCACAGACGTCTATGTTATCTCACAGAAGTCGCATCAGCACAGATAAGAAACATTCCTATAGCTTTTGATGGATCCAGTGTTTGCCCTCACCTCTCCTCTCTGGTCATCCATGGATTTTGATACATATATTGTATGTTGAAATGCATTTCTATTACAAAATATATGAAAAATATTTTTAAAAATACATTGCAAACATATTGTATGTCTTTAACCATTTGCCGCCCTATGGCCGAATTGCGGCCGGCAAATGTCATCAGCGTTCCGGGTCGATGCCATATGGCGTCCTCCCGCACATGCGCAGATTGCGCTCCTGCAGAGCCGCGCAGCTGCACGATCTGTCACCGGCCGTGTACCTCGGACATGGCCGATGACAGATCTGAGTATCGACCCGTTGCCGGTACCATGTGACCTGCTGTGACCAATCACAGCAGGTCACATGACAGCTGTATACAATGGATGGCTTCATTCATGCCATCCATTGTATACTAGTGTCTAGCTGTGAATGGTCACAGCTAATCATGTCATGTGATTAGCTGTGGCCAAATCTCAGCTAAGCACAAAAAAATAAAAAAATAAAAACCTTGGTTATAGCAAAGTAATTCTTTGCTATAAGCAAATTGTGAAAAAAAAAAAAAAAATACTGATCACTTCCCCAAAGTAGTACAATGTTACTATGGTAACATTGTACTACTTTGGTCATAGTGAAATATGAAAAACAAATCTTAAAAAAAATAAAAGAAATGTAATAAAAAAAAATATATATATATATATTTTTTTTCATACTGTCACCAGTCAGTGTCCCTGATCACCGCCATGCCAGTTATATGATGATGCTGTACTGCACTGGTGACAATATGACAATAAAATACAACTTCAAAAAACTCGCCATGCCTCTTATGAAGTACGTCGGACTGTCTACTTTGCAAAAAGGGGTCATTTGGGGGATATCTGTACTGTTCTGACATTTGGGGGATAGCTGTACCGTTCTGACATTTGGGGGATAGCTGTACTGTCCTGACATTTGGGGGATATCTGTACTGTCCTGACATTTGGGGGGTATCTGTACTGTCCTGACATTTGGGGGATATCTGTACTGTTCTGACATTTGGGGGATATCTGTACTGTCCTGACATTTGGGGGATATCTGTACTGTCCTGACATTTGGGGGATATCTGTACTGTTCTGACATTCTTGGACTTCAAGAAATTAGATTGGCTGTCAGTACTTCAGGGTTGATCAATATTCAGATCTATCCCATAGTTTGTGAACTCTATAACTTTCCTACAAACTAAATAATACATCCTAATTTGGGTTATTTTCACCAAAGACATGTAGCAGAATACATCTCGGCCTAAATTTATGAAGAACAATTATTTATTTGCAAACTTTTATAACAGAAACAAAGAAAAACGTGTTTTTTTTCAAAAAATTTTCTGTTAATTTAGCAAAAACTAAAAACCCCAGCGGTGATTAAATACCACCAAAAGAAAGCTCTAGTTGTGTGAAGAAAATGATAAAATTTTAGTTTGGGTACAATGTTGTATGACCGCGCAATTGTCATTCAAAGTGTGAGAGCGCTGAAACCTGAAAACTGGCCTGGGCAGGAAGGGGGAAAATTGCCCGGTATTGAATTGGTTAGAAATACAAATCTACATTTTTGGAATGCATTTACAAATATATGTAAAAATATATCTTAAAATGATTTTTTTTTTATATGTTAAAAAAAATCTGAAGAATATATTTAAAAAATATATATTTTTTAAAAATATATGGGAAGTAGCTTTATTGAGTTAAGACAGCAACGACGTGGAACCTGAGAGAGAACGAACTTTGCATCTGCCCCCCCCCCTTCACGATGAATTGCTTCATTGTAGCGCAGCGTTTCTCACCCACCATGGAACAGACGTACCGCCAATCCTCGGCCGGCCAATGTTTCTCTTCTCTTATTGCTTCTCTATATATTTTTAAGCCCTATCTGATCTCTGGCTGAGAAAATGATATATGTTGAATTTTGTGGGAACACGGCGTACTTCGTATCACCTCCGCGAGGAGGCCTAATCTTTATTTCCCCTTTTGTCAGATGGCGCGCCCTCGCCTCAATAAAGCTAACCGGTCTGATGGTGCGTGCCGCCTGACGGCTGCGGGCTTATGTCTTAGGAGAGCCTCGTTGGGAAAGGATGGTAAACTTATCTTGAAATGCGAAGAAAGAGGCGTTGAAAGTTGCAGTAAAGTTGTTAAATTGAACGCCGCTATCAGGAAAGCTCTTAAATCTCGCTAAGTGGAGTTGAATCTAGGAGGTGAATAGCGCCTGGCGTGCCGGAGACATGTCTCATAACGGGGTCAGCCAAGGTGGAAGAAACACTTATGTATTGCCGAACGTTATCTCCACAATAAAGAAGTGATGTAGTGTCTGATTCTAAAACTCTCATCTGATCCGCTTCTCGGTGATGCGGGATTTATTGTTAATGAGTTAATAAAACGCCATCGTCGCTCCGGAGGGTGACAATGACGCTGTGACGGAGGCTTGTATCAGCAGCTCGGAGGAAGAAAATTCGATCAAGACTTAACCATTTGCCCGACGCCGAGCAAATTTGCTTTCTGAAGTTTAAAAAGAAACCTTTGTCTGCCACCGTGAATGGCCGCATTGGGCCCAGTGACCAAAACCTTGGAGCATGGATAGGGATCTTTTATCTAACCATGTGATTGTAATTTTCAAATTTGATAGAACTGGAAATAACTGACACTTATGCAGGCCAAAGACGGGTCGAAAACCGGCCGTTTTTTTTTTTTAAAAAACAAAAAGTCGGCCATTCAATAGGCTGACGTTACCACCAACGGTAAAAAAAAAAAATCGGCTGCTTTTTTGTCCCATCTACGGCCGGCATTTAATTATTGCTGTCCCTGCAGAGAGCTCCGCTATTATATTTGACATTAAAAAGTATTGTGGTTGCAACATTGTATCTATTTGTATCCATTTCGGATACAGATGTTTTTATTCGGATACAAATAGATACATTGTTGCAACCGCAATACTTTTTCATCAGTATTTGTCAAATATAATACTTTGTCAAATATAATAGCGGACTGGAATTCTTTTTCTTCTTCTTTTTCTTCTTTTTCTTCTTCTTCTTCTTCTTTTTCTTTTTCTTGCAGGTCATGGCTCATGCAGCGATTTTTTATCGGTAAAAAGATCGGCTGATTTGCCCATCATTGGCAAGAAAATCGTCCGATCGTCAAATTCGACCAATTTTTTCCAACTTTACTGATAGAAAAAATGTGCCAAAATCCAGAAAAATGGCTGACCAATTAACCCATTAATGGTGTGAAAATCGGCTGATTTTTTTTCCGCCAAAAAATCGGCCGATTTTCGACCCATCTGTGGCCTGCATTAGTCCCGTTCTCACTGGATGCAAATTGATCCAGGGAATATCCGATTGCTTATTGGAGGATCAGGGGCGGACTGACCATTTGGAAACTCGGGCACTGCCCGAGGGTCCGGGATCAGTAGGGGGCCCCATGAGATGCCCCTGGTACCTTTTTCATAGGCTTTTTTGAGTTTGGGCAAGGACACAGGGGCCCCATGATCCCCTATTGCCTGGGGGCCCCATGAGTTGTCAGTCTGCCCCTGTGGGGGATCAAAAAGGAGTTTTTTCCCCTGCAGGAGCAAATTGGATCATGCTTTGCTGGGTTTTTTTGCCTTCCTCTAGATCAGTGGTTCTCAACCTTTCTAGCGCCGCGACCCCTTAATACAGTTCCTCATGTTGTGGTGACCCCCAACCATAAAATTATTTTCGTTGCTACTTCATAACTGTAATTTTGCAGTAGGAGGAATAGTGCCACGTCATTGGTGTCATTGGGAGGAATAGTGCCCCATCATTGGTATCAGTGGGAGGAATAGTGCCCCGTCATTGGTGTCAGTGGGAGGAATAGTGCCCCGTCATTGGTGTCAATGGGAGGAATAGTGCCCCCGTCATTGGTGTCAGTGGGAGGAATAGTGCCCCCTTCATTGGTGTCAGTGGGAGGAATCGTGCCCCGTCATTGGTGTCAGTGGGAGGAATAGTGCCCCGTCATCGGTGTCAGTGGGAGGAATAGTGCTCCATCATCGGTGTCAGTGGGAGGAATAGTGCCCCATCATCGGTGTCAGTGGGAGGAATAGTGCCCCATCATCGGTGTCAGTGGGAGGAATAGTGCCTCATCATCGGTATCAGTGGGAGGAATAGTGCCCCAACACTGGTGTCAGTGGGAGGAATAGTGCCCCATCATCGGTGTCAGTGGGAGGAATAGTGCCTCATCATCGGTATCAGTGGGAGGAATAGTGTGTCCCATCATCGGTATCAGTGGGAGGAATAGTGCCCCATCATAGGTGTCAGTGGGAGGAGGAATAGTGCCCCATCATAGGTGTCAGTGGGAGCAGGAATAGTGCCCCATCATTGGTGTCAGTGGGGGGAGGAATAGTGCCCCATCATTGGTGTCAGTGGGGGAATAGTGCCCCATCATAGGTGTCAGTGGGAGGAATAGTGCCTCATCATTGGTATCAGTGGGAGGAATAGTGCCCCATCATTGGTATCAGTGGGAGGAATAGTGCCCCGTCATTGGTGTCAGTGGGAGGAATAGTGCCCGTCATTGGTATCAGTGGGAGGAGGAATAGTGCCCCGTCATTGGTATCAGTGGGAGGAGGAATAGTGCCCCGTCATTGGTATCAGTGGGAGGAATAGTGCCCCGTCATTGGTGTCAGTGGGAGGAATAGTGCCTCGTCATCGGTGTCAGTGGGAGGAATAGTGCCTCGTCATCGGTATCAGTGTGAGGAATAGTGCCCCCGTCATCGGTATCAGTGGGAGGAATAGTGCCCCATCATCGGTGTCAGTGGGAGGAATAGTGCCCCGTCATCGGTGTCAGTGGGAGGAATAGTGCCTCATCATTGGTATCAGTGGGAGGAATAGTGCCCCATCATTGGTGTCAGTGGGAGGAATAGTGCCCCATCATTGGTGTCAGTGGGAGGAGGAATAGTGCCCCATCATTGGTGTCAGTGGGGGGAGGAATAGTGCCCCATCATTGGTGTCAGTGGGGGGAGGAATAGTGCCCCATCATAGGTGTCAGTGGGGGGAATAGTGCCCCATCATTGGTGTCAGTGGGGGGAATAGTGCCCCATCATAGGTGTCAGTGGGGGGAATAGTGCCCCATCATAGGTGTCAGTGGGGGGAGGAATAGTGCCCCATCCTTGGTGTCAGTGGGGGGAGGAAGAGTGCCCCATCCTTGGTGTCAGTGGGGGGAGGAATAGTGCCCCATCCTTGGTGTCAGTGGGGGGAGGAATAGTGCCCCATCCTTGGTGTCAGTGGGGGGAGGAATCGTTTTGCCCCATCCTTGGTGTCAGTGGGGGAGGAATAGTGCCCCATCGTTGGTGTCATTTGGGGGAGGAATAGTGCCCCATCGTTGGTGTCAGTGGGAGGAATAGTGTCCCATCGTTGGTGTCAGTGGGAGGAATAGTGCCCCATCACTGGTATTAGTGACACCAATGATGGGGCACTATTCCCACTGACACCAATGATACTTACCTTGCAGACCCCTGCTGCTCCAGCCTGGGCTCGCTCGCTCCCTCCCTCTCCCATGGTACTGACACTTACCTGTCAGATGTCTTCCTTCTCCGGCCGCTCTCCTCCTCTTCACTCGCTCGATCTTCATGGTGCCGCTCGGCTCCTCCTCTCCAAGCTCCACCTCCTTGCCGGTGATTGGCCGCCTGTGTGCCTCTCCTGAGCTACAGTGCCGGCGGCCAATCACAGGCGAGGATTGATCTCGAGGTGTGTCCAGATGACAGGGGCGGCATGTCATCCCGCCCACACCTGGAGACGGCGGTGACGGCGGTGGGGCGGCGGCGGCGAGGAGCGGTGTCTCGGTTCCTAAGACCATCGGAAATATGTGTTTTCCGATGGTCTTAGGCGACCCCTGTGGAAGCGTCGTTCGACCCCCAAAGGGGTCGCGACCCCCAGGTTGAGAACCGCTGCTCTAGATCAACTGTGGGTGTAGGATTATATTTGATGATTTCAGCTTTGTGACACAAAGGGATGGATATAGTCAGCGACAATACTCAGGTAGGCCGTGGCATTTAAACAATGCTCAGTTGGTACTAAGAGGCCCAAAGTGTGCCAAGAAAATCTCCCTCACACCATGATACCACCACCACCACCAGCCTGAACCATTGCTACAAGGCAGGATGGATCCAGGCTTTCATGTTGTTTATGCCAAATTCTGATCTTACCATCTGAATGTCGCAGCTGAAATCGAGACTCACCATTATTTAATCGTTTATTGTACAATTTTGGTGAGCCTGTGCGAATTGTAGCCTCCGTTTCCTGTTATTAACTGACAGGAGTGGTAACCGGTGTGGTCTTATGCTGCTGTAGCCCATCTGCTTCTTAGCTGACAGGAGTGGTACCTGGTGAGGTCTTCTGCTGCTGTAGCCCATATGCTTCGTAGCTGACAGGAGTGTTACCTGGTGAGGTCTGTTGCTGCTGTAGCCCATTTGCTTTTTAGCCAACAGAAGTGGTACCCAGTGTGGTCTTCTGCTGCTAAAGCCATCTGCTTCTTAGCTGACAGGAGTGGTACCCTGTGTGGTCTTCTGCTGCTGTTGCCCATTTGCTTCTTAGCTGACAGGAGTGGTACCTGGTGAGGTCTTCAGCTGCTTTAGCCCATTTGCTTTTTAGCTGACAGGAGTGATACCCAGTGTGGTCTTCTGCTTTAGCCTATTTGCTTTTTAGCTGACTGGAGTGTTACCCAGTGTGGTCTTCTGCTGCTATAGCTGATCTGCTTCTTAGCTGACAGGAGTGGTACCTGGTGAGGTATTCTGCTGCTGTAGGCCATCTGCTTTAAGGTTCAATGAGTTGTGCATTTACAGATGGTATTCTGCATACCTTGGTTGTAACGAGCGGTTATTTGAGTTACTGTTGCCTTTCTATCACCTGTCTGCCCATTCTCCTCTGACCTCTGACATCAACAAGGCATTTTCCTCCACACAACTGCACCTCACTGGATATTTTCTCTTTTTCGGACCATTCTCTGTGAACCCTAGAGATGGTTGTGCGTGAAAATCCCAGCAGATCAGCAGTTTTTTTTTACATACTCAAACCAGCCCGTCTGCACCAACAACAATGTCACGTTCAAAGTCACTTAAATCCCCCATTCTGATGCTCGGTTTGAACTTCAGCAAGTTGTCCGCACGCGTGTAGGTGTCTAAAAGCATTGAGTTGCTGCCATGTGATCGGCTAAATAGCAATTTGTGTTACCAAGCAACTGAACAGATGTACCTAATAAATTGGTGATGAGTGTGTATACCCTTTGCTACAAGTATTGGTGGTTTTGATACATATTTTGGATGTGGGTGTGTAGTGACACCAAATCTTGTTGTGGATATGGTCCATCCAATACCGTCTTTCTCCACTTCTTCCAAGCTGCTGCAATTAGACAGTTGACAGCAGGGGCGGACTGACAACTCATGGGGCCCCCGGGCAATAGGGGATCATGGGGCCCCTATGTCCTTGCCCAAACTCAAAAAAGCCTATGAAAAAGGTACCAGGGGCATCTCATGGGGCACCCTACCAGGGGCGGACTGACAACTCATGGGGCCCCCGGGCAATAGGGGATCATGGGGCCCCTGTGTCCTTGCCCAAACTCAAAAAAGCCTATGAAAAAGGTACCAGGGGCTTCTCATGGGGCCCCCTACTGACCCCGGACCCTTGGGCAGTGCCCGAGTTAACAAATGGTCAGTCCGCCCCTGCACCCTACTGACCCCGGGCCCTTGGGCAGTGCCTGAGTTTCCAAATGGTCAGTCCGCCCCTGGTTGATAGCATGGGCACACAGGCATTAGGAGAATGAACCTTATGGCAACAGTTCTATAGAGTGGAAAAAAAAAAAAAACTCACCTGAAAATTACATTTTGCCACTGTAGTATGCCTGACCCTGATGCCTACCCCGTACTCTTCACGACTGGTAAAAGTCTTTCTGTCCCTTTAACTCAATTTTTTCACAGTTCAGAAGCTTTATATCATATGATTCCAAGCAATTAATTTCTTTTCATATAACACAATAACAAACTATTTTCTTATGAGGACAAACAAAAGAGAGGCAGAGGGAAAAAAAAATAAAATCGATATTTCAAAACAAATTTTGCTTTGACTCTCAGTCAATGTATGAAACTTGCCTTGGACTTTTCTTTATGGGTTTTAGATAGGTCCGCTGTAATTACAATCCTTTCAATTTACTTAAGAAAAGAACCTTGAAAAAAAAAAAAAGTATATATATTACCTTTATTAGATTTCAACGGAGGACTTTGGTGTAAAAATTGAATATTTGTGTTCTCGGCCTTCTGCAGCGAGAAAGAAAATTGATTCCAAGATTAAAAATAAGAAAAAAAAAAAAAAAAAGATGCTGAAATTAATAGATTTTCCTGAGCTGGTTACGGCTTTCGAAGTACGCTAGCAGGTTGGTAACAATGGGCCTGTGATGTGTTTTGAAGTCTTTGTCATTTTTGTAAAGAATTTAAATGGAGGTCATTTTAATCGTATGTCATTTGCGAAACTTTTTCTTTTTTTTTTCTCTATTCTTGTCGCTCCATCTCGCTGCAGGAAGTGGCTGAGATCAGAACGCGGCTAGAAACCTTCTCCGATGTGCGCTCACTTACTGTTCCCCATCATGATCCCGGAGCCTTGTAGATATCTCCAAGAAAAAAAATTGGCTCTAAATCAGGTGGCAAGTTTCAGGTAGGTGGACATGGACACCCAAAAGGGGAAGTTCCGCTTTAAGGTCTTCTCCCTCACTTCCCATTAAGGATTGGCACCTTTGGGGGGCGGGGGAGAGAGCGGGTACCTGAATTTGACAGGTACCCGCACCCACTTCCAGACCGATCACCTAGGCGATCGGAAGCGGAAGGTGTCCTCCCTCCATCCCTGTAGTCTTTTGGGACACGTGACAGGTACCAGAAGACTACAGGACCATTCATGAAGCTCAGCACTACTTGCGCATGCGCAGTGGGTACCCGGCTGTGAAGCCGCAAGCTATCACAGCCGGGTGCCCACACTGAAGATGGCGGTCTCCTGGAATATGGGACGGCCGGTGAAACGAGCTGTGTGGGGGGGGGGGGGGACACACCACGGGACCGAGGGATAGGTAAGTGGCTGGTTTTCAAAAGTCAGCAGCTACAATTTTTGTAGCTGCTGACTTTTATTCTTTGGCAGCATGAGTGGAACTCCGCTTTAAATTGATTTTCAATTTGCTGCCAGAGCCGTTTTTGCAGTTTTTGCACACATGCTTAAAAAAACCATTTTAGGTCTGAAGATTACACAAAACCCCCAAGCATTATATATATATTTTCTGAAAGCAAACACCATAGAGCACAGGTGTCAAACACAAGGCCCTGGGACATTTCATGTGGCCCTTGCACCTCTCCTGCAGGTACCCCTTTGTTTCTGCCCCCACCTTGTCTCAGCAGTCGGCAGCAGAGAGGAGAATAGAACGCCTCTGCCAAATCCTGCACCTCTCAGTGCAGCTGCAGCACCCCCTCATCTCTGCCTCCCCTGGTCTCAGCATTCAGCAGTCTCTGGTAACTGACTCCACTCCTCCTCTGGTCCTCCTCCAGAACCTGCATTTTCTGCTTTCCAGCTCTGCCCCCAAAGAGGGTGTGCAGCAGGGGTGGACTGACAACTCATGGGGCCCCCGGGCAATAGGGGATCATGGGGCCCCTGTGTCCTTGCCCAAACTCAAAAAAGCCTATGAAAAAGATACCAAGGGCATCTCATGGGGCCCCCTACTGACCGCGTGTCCTCGGGCAGTGCCCAAGTTTCCAAATAGTCAGTCCGCCCCTGGTGTGTGTGGTGATGATAGGGAGGGTGTGGGATTTTTGACATCTGATGTATGTCTTTACATCTGGAGGAAATTAAATGTAATCTCCAAATACGGAAAGGTGTCTTCACAGTAAGAGCTGTGAAAATATGGAATACACTCCCTCAAGTAAGGGGGCACCTAATGGGGAACCCTGAAGTAAGGGGAGCTCTGAACAGTACCCTGAAGTAAGATGGTCTCTAATGGGGCACCCTGGTATAAGGGTGTGGGGGGGGGGGCTTTGATGGGGACTCTAATGTAAGGGAAGCTCTGATGGGGACCCTAAAATAAGGGGGTACTCTAATGGGGACTCTAATGTAAGTGGAACATTAATGGGGACTCTGAAGTAAGGGGGCCCCTAATGGGGACTCAGATGTAAGGGGAATTCTAATCAGGAGCCTGAAGTAAGATGGTCTCTAAAGGGGCACCCTGGTGTAAGGGTGTGTGGGAGGGG